TGACAGTGGGGTGTTAAAGTCTCCCATTGTTATTGTGTAGGAGTCTAAGTCTCTTTGTAGATCATTAAGAACTTGCCTTATGTATCTGGCACTCCTGTATTGGGTGCATATATTTTAGGGTCATTAGCTCTTCTTGTTGCATTGATCCCTTTAGCATTATGTAATGCCCTTCTTTGTCTCTTTTGATCTTTGTTGGTTTAAAATCTGTTTTATCAGAGACTAGGATTGCAACTCCTGCTTTTTTTTGCTCTCCATTTGCTTGATAAATCTCCCTTCATCCCTTTATTTTGAGTCTATGTGTGTCTTTGCACTTGAGATGGGTCCCCTGAATATAGTACACCAATGGGTCTTGACTCTTTATCCAATTTGCCAGTCTGTGCCTTTTGATTGGGGCATTTAGCGCATTTACATTTAAGGTTAATATTGTTATACGTGAATTTGATCCTGCTATTTTGATGCTAGCTGGTTGTTTTGCCCATTAGTTGACACGGTTTCTTCATTGTGTGAATGCTCTTTACCATTTGGTACATTTTTGGAGTGGCCGGTACTGGCTGTTCCTTTCTATGTTTAATGCTTCTTTCAGGAGCTCTTGTAAGACAGGCCTGGTGGTGACAAAATCTCTCAGCAATTGCTTGTTTATAAAGAATTTTATTTTTCCTTTGCTTATAAAGGTTAGTGTGCCTGGATATGAAATTCTAAGTTGAAAGTTATTTTCATTAAGGATGTTGAATATTTGGCCCCCACTCTCTTCTGGCTTGTAGGTTTTCTGCTGAGAGATCCACTGTGAGTCTGATGGGCTTCCCTTTGTGGGTAACCCAACCTTTCTCTCTGGCTGCCCTTAGCATTTTTTTCTTCACTTCAACCCAGGTGAATCTGACAATTGTGTGCCTTGGGGCTGCTCATCTCGAGGAATACCTTTGTAGTGTTCTCTGTATTTCCTGAATTTGAATGTTGGCCTGGGTTGCTTGGTTGAAGAAATTCTCTTGGACAATATTCTGAAGAGTGTTTTACAACTAGGTTTCATTCTCTCTGTCACTTTCAGGTATACCAATCAAAGGTAGATTTGGTCTTTTCACATAATCCCATAGTTCTTGGAAGGTTTGTTTATTTATTTTCACTTTTTTTCCTCTAATCTTGCCTTGTCTCTTTATTTCATTAAGTTGATCTTTAATCTCAGATATCCTTTTTTCTGCTTGATTGATTTGGCTATTAAAACTTATATATGTATCTTGAAGTTCTTGTGCTTTTTTTTTTTCAGCACTATCAAGTCATTTTTGTTCTTCTCTATGCTGGTTATTCTAGTTAGCATTTTGTCTAACCTTTTTTAAAGTTCTTAGTTTCCTTACATTGGGTTAGAACATGTTTCTTTAGCTTAGAGAAGTTTGTTGTTACCCACCTAATGAAGCCTCCTCTTGTCACTTCATTAAACTCATTCTCCATCAAATTTTGTTCCCTTGCTGGTGAGGAGTTTGATCTCTTGAAGGAGAAGAGCATTCTAGTTTTTGGCAATTTCATCCCTTTTGTGCTGGGTTCTTCTTATCTCCATGGATCTATCTACTTTTGGTCTTTGCAGTTGGTGACTTTTGGATGGCATCTCTGAGTGGATGTCCTTTCTGTTCATGTTGAAGCTATTACTTTTTGTTTGTTAGTTTTACTTCTAACAGTCAGGCCCCTCTGCTGCAGGTCTGCTGGAGTTTGCTGGAGGTTCACTCCAGACCCTGGTTGCCTGGGCATCACCCACAGGGGCTGCAGAACAGCAGAGATTGATGCCTGTTTCTTCCTGTGGTAGCTTTATCCCAGAAGGGTTCCTTCTAGATGTCAGAGCTCTCCTGTATCAGGTGTCTCCCAGTCAGGATACATGGGATTCAGGAAACCAGTTGAGGAGGCAGCTGTCCTTTATCAGAGCTCAAATGTTGTGTTGGGAGATCCATTGCTCTCTTCAGAGCTGCCAGGCCGGGATGTTTAAGTCTGCTGAAGTGGAACCCACAACTGTCCCTTTTCCCAGGTGCTCTGTCTCAGGAAGGTGGGGGCTTTATTTATAAGTCCCTGATGGGCTGCTACCTTTCTTCAGAGATGTCCTGCCTAGCAAGAAGGGAGTCTCATTTACAGTCTGCCTGCAAAGGCCTTGCTGAGCTGCTGTGGGCTCTGCCCAGTTGCTGTGTAAACTTCCCAGTGACTTTGTTTACACAGGCAAGGTTAAAACTGCCTACCAGAGCCTCATCAATGGTGGGTGCCCCTCTCCCCACTGAGCTCAAATGTCCCAGGTTGAGCTCAGACTGCTGTGATGGCTGCAAGCATTTCAAGCCAGTAGATCTTACCTTGTTGGTTTGAGGGGGTGGGACCCACCGAGCTAGATCACTTGGCTCCTTGTCTTCAGGCACCTCTTTTTCTTTTTTTAGGAAAATGAGTGGTTCTGTCTTGCTGGCATTCTAGGTGCCACTAGGGTATGAGGGGGGAAAAGCTGTTGTGAAGACTGTAGGAAAAGTGTAATATCTGAAGCAAAGTGCCAGAGTGTCAGAAGTGTCCCTAATGGCTTCCCTTTGCTAGGAAAGGGAGTTCTCCAGACCCTTGTGCTTCCTGGGTGAGGCGACACCCCACTCTGTTCTGACAGAGTCCTCCTTGGGCTGCACTGACTGTCTAACCAGTTCCAGTGAAATCAATCTGGTACCTTGACTGGAAATGTGGAGATTACTTGCCTTCTGCATCACTCTTGTCAGGAACTGTGGACTGGAGCTGTTCCTATTCAGCCATTTTGATGGAAGAGCTGATTTTTGAATTTGAATGTTGAACTGTTCTTGCATTCTTGGGATGAAACCCACCTGGTCCTGTGACCTTTTAACTGTCATTGATTTTGGTTTGCTAGTATTTTGTTGAAGATTTTTGCATCAATATTTAGCACAGATATTTGCCTTTATTTTTTCATTTGGCTAGTTTAAAACTTTTCTCTCTGTCACTGTTTTTTCTGTGTTTGCATTGTGATTTAACTTGCTTTTACTTTTATTTAACCTGGTTCTCTTGTTTTTATTCTTGATTTACTTTTTATTCATCTAAGCTTTCCTGAAGCTTTATAGATCTGTGAATTCATAGTTTTCATAAAATCTAGAAAAATGTTGCTTATTACTTTTCAATATTTTTTCTGTCCTTTTTGTTTTTCTATTTTTGTGGAATTCCAACAACATATGAGTTATCTTGCTTGGGCACTGAGTGCACTTTTCAGTTTTTGTCTCGGCCTTTATATTTATTTAACTTAGTTTGGATAGTTTCTATTGCTGTACCTTCAAGTTCATTGCTCTTTTCTTCTGCAGTATCTAATATGTCATTATGTCCATTGTGTGAAATTGTCATTTGTTGTTTTCAGCTTATCCAATGAGTTTTTCAGTTCATAATTTTTCAGCCCTGCATCGTTCATAGTTTATTTCTATAATATTTATTTCTTCTTTATTCTGAATTTAAAAAAAATTCTTGAAACAAATGTTTTTCAACTTATGATGTGGCTACATCCTGATAAACCCATCATAAGTTGAAAATATTGTAAGTCAAAAATGCATTTAATATGCCTAATCCATTTACTTTAGCTTACTTGGGACTAACTTAAACATGATCAGAACATTTATAGTAGCCTACACTTTGGCAAAGTTATCTCATGCAAAGTCTGTTTTATAATAGAGAGTTAAATATCTCTTGTAATGCATTGAAAAGATCAAAATTTAAAATTCAAACTATGGTTTCAACTGCATTCACGTTACTTTTTGCACCATTATGAAGTTGAAAAATTGTAAGTCAAACCATTGTAATTTGGGAACTATCTATAATCAGTGATTTAAAGCTCTTCTATATAAATTATATTATATACATTATTTTTGGACCTATTTCTATTAACTAACTTTTCTATTAGTAAGGATCTAATTTTCTTGCCTTATTTTACATCTAGTAATTATTTGTTGGATGCTGTATATTGTACTTGTTGTATCCTTCATTCTCTGGATTTTGTTGTCTTTCTTTAAAGAATGTTGTTTATATTCCTTAGGAAGGCATTCTAACTTACTTGCATATTATCTTGGCTCTTTCAAAGCTTATGTTGAAGGTTAGTGCTGCTTTAAAGTAGCCTTCACTGTAGGACTAGTGTGCTCTGTTCCTATTGCTTGTTCTTTCTGGTGCCTTGACTGAAGGTCACCGGTTTTCGGTGCAGTCTAGTATGGATGGTCAGAATTGGGAAATATTGTAACCCTGTGTACACTCAAGTTGTTGTTCATCTTACACATTCCCAGTTGTTTTTCCTTTGTTAGATGTTCTTTGACATCTAATAGAGGATTTTTTAAGTCTCTTCCTATTCATGTATAGCTTAGTATTCAGGCAGAGAGTCAAGACAAGCCTTATGCAGTCTTTCTGGCACTCTTCCTGCATGCAATGCTCTCTTCCAACTACTTCATCCTACTCAACTTTATTCTCTTCTCTTCAGATCATCAAGACTATCACGCTTTACTTTTTCTGACAGTGGAATTCAGAAAAAGAATTATTCTAGGCAGAAAGCTAGAGTGATTGTAGTGCTTACCTCTTATTTTCCTCTCTCAGATATAAAAATCCTACGCTGCCTGTTTTCTAACTTCTGAAAACTGTTGTTTCAAGTACCTTATTCATTCTTCTATTTGCTTACTATTATAGGGAAAGTCTGATTCCAATTTCTTGGTCACAACTGGATGCTGCAGCAATCTATCACCTTTATTTTTGAATAATATTTTTACTTAGTATTGCATCCTGTTGACAGATTTATTCTGTCAGCATTTAATGATACCATTCCTTGTATAATGGCTTATATTTTTGCTGATGTTATTTTTCTTCAAATCTCTGTCACTCTTATTGATATTATATGTAATGTACTTTTTCTCACCTCTGGTTGCTTTTAGTCTCTTTATCTTTTAATATGACTCGATATTGTTATTGTTTCCTTTCTTTTTAACATGCTTGGAATTTATTTGTTATTTTGAATTCATGAGTTTTTGTTCTTCATCAATTTTGGAAAGTTTTGGCTATGTGTCCTCAAGAATTTATCCCTTATTTTTCTCTAATCACCTCTGTGTACTCCAAATATCTCTATTACACCACTTGAAATTAGAAGCATATCATTGAATTCCACTTTTTATTCTTTTAAAAGATTTTTTTCTCTTTCTGCCTTGTGAATATTTCTTTCTGCTGTGCCAAATCAGCTGTTAAGTTTATACAATACTTTTTTTCAGATACTGTGTATTTTGGTTCACCTTTGGATTCATTGGTAGGGTCATTGAATGTCAGAGTACATGGATGATTTGATTTCATTCTATTTTCCAGCTTTCTTTCCACTGCTTCTTTCTTGGCACAATTCTTGTTGTGTTTGTGTGTGTGTGTGTGTTTTGGGCAGACTGTGGGCATACAATTTGTTTTTTAATTTGGGGATATTCCAGATTCCAGTCTGTCCATCTGGTTCACACTTTTATCCAAGGCTTAGCTAATATCATTCTCTTTTTCTATGGCAGACCCATTCTTGATTCTTTCATATCTAGATGAAGCACCTGCTTATAGGTTTAGAATAAGCTCTGACTCTCTGCTCATGCATGAAAGCCTCAGTTTTTTGCTTTTTTTTTTTTTTTTTTTTTTTAGATGGAGTTTTGCTCTTGTTACCCAGGCAGAAGTGCAATGGCACGATCTCGGCTCACCGCAACCTCTGCCTCCTGAGTTCAAGCAATTCTCCTGCCTCAGCCTCCCGAGTAGCTGGGACTACAGGCGCGCGCCACCATGCCCAGCTAAATTTTGTATTTTTAGTAGAGACGGTGTTTCACCATGTCGACCATGATGATCTTGATCTCTTGACCTCGTGATTCACCAGCCTCAGCCTCCCAAATTGCTGGGATTATAGGCTGCTTTTTATTTGAGACAGGTCTTGCTTGTCACTCAGGCCAGAGTCTGGTGGTGCAATCATAGCTCATTGCAGCTGTGAATTCCTGGGCTTAAGTAAGCCTGTCACTACAGCCTTCCTCAAAGCCAGGACCACAGGCACATGTCACCGCTTCTGGCTAAATTTTGTGTTTTTTCTAGTGATGTGGTCGCTCTGTTGCCCAGGCTGGTCTCAAACTCCTGATTTAAAATGGTTCTCCCACCTCGGCCTCCCAAATTTCTGGGATTCTAGCATAAGCCACCACTCCTGGCCAAAAGCCACATTTTAATCTGACATAGAATTAATTCAGGTTTTCTTGCATCCACTACTCTTCCTTGGTTACATAAAGAATATGATATTTTTATTTTTGCATTTTTTTCTATTGTTATTCCTGGAAAAAATGTATTTAGTATTCCTTTACATCCTAGCCAGAAGCAGAAATCATATATGTGTACGTTTGGAATGCCCGCTTTATCATTATGGTAGCCAATACAACATTTCTTGTCACAAATCACTGATTTCCCAGCAGTATTAATGAGTGTAGCACTAAGAACTTCACTGGTCTTATCACTTATTGCATTATCAGGAGGAGCTGGACTTCTAGAATGATTTATTCATCCATTGGAGGCTCAGTATGGAATCATCTGGGAAACAGCAACCTGTAAAGTTGAGGTGCTGTCCTAAAGAATGTGTATATGCTTTGGACCAGTGACTTATATCCTCTTTTTCCTTTAGATATATTGTTTTGAAATCCAAGGATGTCTGTCTTATGGTTATATCTAATAACTCACTTAACTGCAGTTTAGTGTACATTTCCATTTATAATTTAGTCTTTAGATGTCAGACTGTCTAAATGGGACTATGACTGAATCAGAAGAAGAATTAGCATAACCAGTGACTGGTAAAGAGACTGAGAGGACTTGGTACTCCCTTTTTTGGGAGAGAGTGAGAACATTTTAAAATTGAATTTTAAACATGTCTTTATTTCCTTTATTCCTTCACAATATTTTATTTGGTTTCTCTATATTCCTTGTATTTTTGTGTGTGGGGTTATGGATTTTCTTCAAATGTTTTGTGAGTATTGTTTGTGTATTTGTATTTATTGATGTAGGTTTGATGGTTGATTAAGAGGGTAGTGGGTATGAGTTTCCTTTACCATTGTATAAGTTAATTATTATTATTAAATTTTGAGACAGATTCTCACTCCCTCTGTTGCTCAGGCTGGAGTACAGTGGTGTGATCTTGGCTCACTGCAACCTCTGCCTCCTTGGCCCAAGTGATTCTCCTGCCTCAGCCTCCTGAGTAGCTGGTATTACAGGCAAGCACCACCACAACTGGCTAATTCTTGTAGTTTTAGTAGAGATGGGAGTCTCACCATGTTGGCAAGGCTGGTCTCAAACTCCTAAACTCAAGTGATCCACCTGCCTCAGCCTCCCAGAGTGCTGGGATTACAGGCAGGAGCCACCACTCCAAGACTCATATAGTTAGTTTTTGCCACAGGCATCTTATCTAGATTGAAGGGTAAATACTAAGCTCTGTTTATAATAGATATGTTGACCAACTGGCTCACTTTAGGGTAGGTAGGCAGGAAATAGCAGGCAGGCCAAAACCTTCAGGGCTTTATTCTTGGGCTCAAATCCACAAAACTTTAGACTTATCCATGTACTTACCTTATTGAGAGGAGTTCTCTACTTTAAGCCTTCAGCTTCATGCTTATAGTCTCTCTGTTTGTGAAAGAATTGATGGGGGGTGTGAAGCTTTTATATAAATTACCTTTTCATTAACCAATTACACTGATTTCTGCCTCACTGTTCATAGCAACTTTTAGCACCATGCTCTAACCAACTGAGCTAACCATCATAACAACTTTTATCAGAAAATTTTCAGACAATAAAACAATGGTTCCAATATCTCCTGTAAGATTTTTTTTTTTTTTTTGGTGAATGTGTAAGCTATGGCTACCTCTCCTCTTATTTAGTTATTATTGTCTTCTATCCAGTTTTTGTTTTTCATAAATATTAAGATTTCTGGTCTTTCTAGTCCATTTCTTGGTAAAATATATAGGATAATCTTATCAAGAGGGATCCAGGCATCCAGAATTCTCTACTGTAAATTAATTACATTCTAAACCTTAGTCTCCAGAGGGAATGCATTCATTTAGTTAATATTTGGCCCCAGACTGCCAGACTCAAGGTCTATAATACATTTCAAATATTGTTATAGTGGATGCACAACTGTCTTTTGCTCCTGGAAATTTTATTTGTAGATGGTCCCTTATTGTTATGATAAGTACCAGGAAGATAGAAACTGTGATTACCTGAAGATAGTTCTTATGCATTGTTATTTGGGAAAAACATTTACGGAGAAATACAGAACATGTTACAGTATTGCATTGGATAAAAATTCAATATGTTCAATAATAAAAAGAAGGACAGTATGGCTGAAGTATAGTGAATCAAGCTGAATAAAGACCATGGTAAGAAAACTGGATTTTACTCTTAGTATAATGGGAAGCTGGTAGCGATATTTAAGAAAGAGTCTAGCATCTGATTTTTATTTTTGAAAAGATCACTCTGATACATGGTGAATGTTTTGTGGGAGTGGAGAATACAAGCAGGGAGTTAATGAGCAGGCAGCATGCTAGAAGGGAATGGATGATTGCTCAGGATAGACTGGTAGCTAAAGCTGATGAGAAGTGACTATGCTCTGGCTTTATTGGGAGGTAGCATCAGTAAAACTTGGATTAGATGGTGGAGGCTGGTAGTGAGGGGAAAAAAAAGATTTATAAATTTTGACCTGAATATCTGGACTATTGGTTCTACAAACTGAAATAAGGAAGTCTGGGGATGAAACAGAATTTGGTTTCAGGACATGTTAAGTTGTAAGTACCTATTAGTCAAAGGTGAGGTGAGTCAGATATCATGCTGTGAAAGCTAAGACTTTACCTAACATCTCAGTCATTCCCTTTTTCCAGTTGATATACAATGGACTTCTATTAGATCTGCTATCTCTGATAGTTGTCGTGGAGTGTAATGTCAAACTCTCAACAATATTCATGAAGGATTATCTAAATTATTTGAAATAATTTTCCAGCACCAACATGTATTGCCTTGGTGCCATCCATGCACAACTGTCTATGAAAGTGCATCCACTATTTTAATGCATGTCAAAGCATTTGATAATAGAGTACTGGGGATCTAATTACACCATTTGGATTGTGGAAGAGCAAATTCTTTTGCTTACTAAACTTAGTCAATATACAGGATTACAGGGAATAGTTAACATATGACTTTACATTTGCAAAGTGCTATCCTTTTTATTAGTCTTTTCATTTCGCTTTTGAAAACCAAGGTAAGACTGAGAGAAAGTGATTATCTAATACTAATAGGAGAGAGTGTTTAAGGGAGAAATTAATGATTGATAACTTTAGATGCCATAGGTAGACTAATAAAATTGAGTTGGATGAAGACTATACTTTCAGCAGAAGTCATCTGACTGCTTTGTGATCAAATATATTCTTTTACATTATCTCTCCAAACTGAATTGAGTTCTCAGATTTCTTTCTCTGGGTAATCTCTCAGTATTTGACAAGCTCTGCATTGGCATTCCTAACCTGGTATCTCACATTGACTATTGTACTGGGTAAATATTGTGAATACTCAGAACTAGCATTGCCTATCCTCATGGAATCTGTACAATCTCCTGTGATGGATAAATATAAAAAATGGTGGAAAGGCATTAAGATAAGGAGAAAGCAAAAGACTAAAAAAGAACAGCAGGAAGAAAAAAAATGTGTATCATAGAAGGTACAGGTAAACAGGAGAAACTTTCTTGATCTTGAAAGAGAATGGAGAGGGATTAGATGGGAATCAATAGTGACTAAATAGCCATAATATTAATTCTCATAACAATTATCTACTTTTATAGATAAGGCAGTTAGATTTCGAGAGGTTCATTTTGGGGAAGGTAACTGTGCTAGGTAGAATCCTAAAGTGACTCCCAAACTTTTTCTGTTGTAGACACACCTTGGATAATTCCCTCCCTTTGAGTTGGGGTAGAACCAATGAATATATGATCAAATATTCTTCCTATGATTAGCTTATATAATACAGGTCAAGGAATTTTGAAGATGCAGGTGAGTTCCACAATCAGTCAGTTTTGAGTTAACATAAAAGGAGGCCACTCTGACTGTACCTGAACTAATGATGTGAGCCCTTAAAAGACAGAAAATGTCATAACGATTCTCCTGAGGGTTTGGAGGAAGAAAGCTGCTGTGTTCTGAGGGTGCCAAATTACTAGGAGCTGTGAGGAACTTCTAAGAGCCAAGAGCAATCCCTGGCAGACAGCTAGTAAGAAAATGAATGGGAGCTTCAGACCTACAACTGCAAAAAACTGAATTCTACTAACAACCAGTGACCTCTGAAGGGGATTCAAACCTCAGATGACACTGCAGCCCCAGCCATTACTTTGATGTCAGCATAGTGAGACTTTGAGCAGAGAAAACCCGTGTGCCTGCAGAACGAACCTACTGAATTTGTAACTGTAAACTGGTGTTTTCAGCTGCCAAATCTTTTCTATTTTTTTTTACAGAAAAATAAAAAATCCAATATAATGGAGGAAAAAATAGATAAATACATAGGTTGCTCTTGGTTTATCCCTCCCTCCTTTCTTTCTCTTTTTCTTTTCCTTCGTTTATCCCTCCCTCCTTTCTTTCTGTCTCTTCTTTCCTTCCTTCCTTCCTTCCTTCCTTCCTTCCTTCCTTCCTTCCTTCCTTCCTTCCTTCTTTTTTCTTTCTTTCCTTCTTCTCTTTCTTTCTTTTTTTTTCTTTTTTGACAGAGTCTCGCTTTGTCACCAGGCTGGAGTGCAGTGGCACGATCTTGGCTCACTGCAACCTTCGCCTCCTGGTTCAAGCGATTCTCCTGCCTTAGCTTCCCAAGTAGCTGGGACTACAGGCACACACCATCACTCCCAGCTAATTTTTGTAGTTTTAGTAGAGATGGAGTTTCACCATGTTGGCCAGGATGGTCTCGGTCTCTTGATCTCATGACCTGCCTGCCTTAGCCTCTCCAAATGCTGGGATTACGGGCGTGAGCCACCGCACCCAGCCGTTTTCTTTCTTTTTTTTTTTTTTTTTTGCCAATCAGTTTGAGCTTATGAGGTTGCTCAGGTTAGCCTTGAACTGATGACCTCGCCTTCGCAAGCGTCATGACCTCCGGCGGGAGGCACTTTGGACCCCCCAGCCGTTTTCTTGATTTATCTGTTGCTTTCTTTCACTGAGCCCTCTTCTAGTTGACACTTCTATGACATCTCCCCTCCACCTATATTACCTTTTGTGATGGAAATGAATGAAAATGAAGCAAAAGGAGCAATAACAGTGGCCATTGCCTTTCACTTTTACTTTTTACTCTTTTCTTGCAACCTCAACTAAGAAAAATGTTTTAATTAGATATTAATGGAGAGACAAAAGGAACATTATATGCAGAAATGGAGGAAGATGAAAAACCAATATATGTTTTAATCCAAATGTATTTCTAATGTTAACAGGTTCAAAAAATGCTCCATTTGCCTGCTATGAAGAAATACAATCTCAATCAGACAGATTTGGGAACTGTGGTAGGGACAGATATAACAGATATGTGCTCTGTGGATGGAGGTATGCTCTACAAATATAAATGATATTTTTCTTATATTCTTTAAGATTTTTAAAAACTTTCCTTGCTGCCTTATCTTTAGTATACGTCATTCATTCCAGCGGTTTAAACTATTGCACGTGCATGGGAGGGAATCACATCAAAATCTCCAGCCTTGACATCTTTCTTGTGATGCAGACTAAAATTTCATCTTCTGTTTAAACATTTATACATCAATGGCCATTATATTTCTAAATCCAATCAGAAGTTGAAATTTGTAATACCTACTGAGCCTTTCCTGCTCATTTTTTCTTTCCATCCACTTTGTTACTTGCCCAAAAGGAAGACCGCTCAGTGTCTATAAAATGCAGTTCAATTCCTCCTGAATCTGAAGAGCCAGGTTTTTGATATTTTGATCATGAGTTTATTTTTTTACAAAACATCTCTTAGGCACTTACTATATGTCAGACACTGGGCTAAATCCTAGTTAGCAAATCATCCTCAGACACTCATGGAATTTGTAGACTCATGAAGTTTTATGCTTCCTTGATTTATTTATGCTGTTACTTTTGATTAGAAATACTTCAATGTCTCTGTTGAAATCTTAGTAATTTGTGAGCTTTGACTCAGATGGCATCTGCTTTATAAAGTTTTCCCTAACTGTGTAAGTTAGAATGTGTCTTCTAACCTCACAATTAAGGTAAACTTCATAGAGTTTTTGAGAGAATCTTAAACCTCTGTAAAGATTTATTTAATTTGTAACATTTTTAATGGAATTTGAATCATATTAGTATCATAAGCCATAGTAAGAGTATTAGACTGTAAAGTCCTTGAGTGTAGAGGTTACAACTTTTTCAACTTTCTTTCCCGCTATGGGGTGATATAAAATGCTGTAGTGAATTGATTATTTGACAGTAAATATGTAATCTGCCCAATAAATAGCAGACCACTAGTATTGTTACCAGAAAGGGTCCCAATACAGACCTGAAGAAATGTTCTTGGATCTTGTGGAAGAGAGAATTTGAGGCAAATTCATACATTAAAGTGAAAGCAAGTTTGTTAAGAAAGTAAAGGAATAAATGAATGAGTACTCCGTAAGCAGAGCAGTGGCATGTGCTGCCCAGCTGCCTATACTTACTGTTACTTCTGGATTATATGCTAAGCAAGGGGTGGATTATTCATGAGTTTTCCATGAAAGAGGTGGGCAATTCCCGGAACTGAGGGTTCCTCTCCTTTTTAGACCATATAGGGTAACTTCCTGATGTTCCTGTGGCATTTGGAAACTGTCATGCTGCTGGTGGGGGTATCTTTTATCATGCTAATGTATTGTAATTAGAGTATAATGAGCAATGAGGATGACCAGAAGTCACTTTTGTCACCTTTTTGGTCTTGGTAAGATTTGGCTGGTTTCTTTATTTCATGCTGTTTTATCAGCTTACAACCTGTATCTTGTGCCAACCTCCTGTCTCATCTTGTGTCTAAGAATGCCGTAACCTCCTGGGAATGCAGCCCCATAGGTCTTAGTTTTATTTTACCTAGCCTCTATTCGAGATAGAGTCACTCTTGCTCAAAATGCCTCTAATAGTACCATTGAAAGTTGAGCTAGGATCAGTGAATTTATACTTTTTTATGTTTTACTTTACAAGTTACTGTGAAAGCACTATGTTTTCTGTAGGTACATTGCCATAAATGGAGAACCATTCTTTTTTCAACACAGAAAGCAAATCCAAAGCATTCTTAATACATTCCTAATATATAACAATCATTTTTTTAATGTTTTCAGGAATCTTATATGTGGTAGATTAGTTTGCACCTACCCTACTCGAACACCTTTCCATCAAGAAAATGGTGATGTGATTTATGCTTTCGTACGAGATTCTGTATGCGTGACTGTAGACTACAAATTGCCACGATCAGTTCCAGATCCACTGGCTGTCAAAAGCGGCTCTCCATGTGATATTGAAAGGGTAAATAATTAAAAATTTATTTTAAAAATATAGTTTTATTCATTTTTCATCTTTTTATTTAAGTCTCAAATTTTAATTCAGTTCTAGCATTATATAATCTTAAATGTTTGGAGGCAAAACGAATAAGCTTAAATTAGTCTCCAAATAGTAAGAGGAAAATGGCAACATTGGACCCCCCCCCCTTACAATTTCAGTGTTATGAGCAAGGAAACTCCAAATATTTGGAGGTTTCCTTGGAAGAGAGTCTTGGGAATATACTGTGGTTAAGAACCTCATAGCATGGAAACTTGCTTTTCTTCTTGGGAGAAGAAAGAAGAAATCTAACTTAGCAATATATGCCTCTTTGTGGCCCCATGAATAACAACACAACTTAGATCAGGCTGCTTAGATAGAATCAAATATTGTTTGACATTTTTCAAGTTACCTAGCTAGTCTGAGATATCTCAACTGTATGTGAAGTAGGGACAATAATAGCATTTATTCAATAGGGTATTGTGAAGACTAAATGAAATAATAGTATAATTGCTTAGCACAATGCCCAGGACATAATAATAACTAAATGTAGTTTGGCTATTATTGTTGATTGTTATCATTATAATTTGTCATCTTTGAAACCAACCCAAATCAGGAGAAGACAGAGCAGTTAAAATTGCTTTAAAATATAATTTAATGGGAATAATCTCATTTAATGGCAAAGGTTGCTACCTAGGCATTGGAAATAGAACACAACAGCCAAATAGCTCAAGCCAGACAGAGATAAGTACTTTAAGGCATTTCTCGTGATTGGGGGACTGGGCTCTCAGCTTTCCCCATGTTTTTCTTAAGCGGACCGTTCAGGAATTTGTCTGCAAACCTAAAGCAATCCATATACTATTCTTCCATACATATGTATATTGTTAGTTCTTTCTCTCCTTCCTCCCACCCCCATTTGTCTGACTCTTCATTCCTGTGTCGTGTGACCTGGGGATGGAGGACTCCCCTCCTGATACATTGTGTTCTCCCTGCCCAGGATCTGTAAATAATGAATCTTTGAACTTATAAAATAAATAAATAAATATTTAAATATTTAAAAATGAAAATGAAATCTTATTTAATTCCTGACCAGATCTTTGCTCATCGGGAAATATAAAAAGTATAAAGTGTAGGCTTTAAGATAGATGTTCATAAATTTGAATTCTGACTCTGCCACTGATAAATGAGCTTTAAGAAATAATTTAATATCATTAAGCCTTAGTATCTTTAGATATAAAAATGTATATTTTAATAACCACTTTTAGTGGTTTTATAGTATAAAGTTTACTGTAGGTAAAGTGTATAGACTGATTGAAATTGATTTATTTTCATGCCTTCGAGTCATAATGCCCTCTTGCTGGAGGTTTAGGCCAGGGAGCTCAGTAGATGTATTTAGGCCATGGAGCAGAAAAGAAAAAACCTAAAAAATGCAACACAACTAATAAGTGGTTTGAGATGATTTGAGAAGTAATTTAATAAGAATTGAATCTTTTTTAATAACCCAGATAATTTTTCTCAGAAATAATGTGTGAAAACAAATTTTACCAGGTAGTTTTTAATGATACTACTAATCATATATGATGAAATATTGTTAGTATTGTTTCTGTAAGTTAGTGTTCTTATGCAGTGGGGCTCTATCTTAATTCTAACTGAGCCAGGTAGACAACAGATGCTGTATTCCAAAAGGACTTGTTAGACACACCATCATGGTCAAGGACTAGTGAGTAGACTCAACAAATTAAAAGCTTAAAAGAGTTAGATTGTTAGGATTTAAAAGAGGTTTGTGATGCCATTTATTTGAAAAGTATTGTACTGTTCTTTAATGTTTAACAGGAAATGATTTTCACATATGTTATTGCATTTTAACCTAAAAACAAGCTCTAATCCTATTTGCTTTTTCTAAAATAACATGTTTTTGAAAAGTATTATTGTACTTAGGTGAAAACTGCAATTTATGGAAGCTGCAATTGCCATAAGTAATGGAGCTGGGAGTATATCTTCAGTTCTCTGATGATTACACTTTAATGTTAGGAGAATTATGTCTGAATTTTTTATATATTCAATAGTATAATGATAGGCACCTCTAGTATATTTTAACAAAATTTCTATTATCTTCATTAAATACTTATGAGACTCTAATGATAGATCATATTTTATAAAAAATATGCCATTATTATATGAAGTTAATTTTTTACTATGTAGAACTTTTACATGTGCAACTAATACAAGGTATTCTTTGAGCTGTGTACTCAGGAATAGTCATGTTAGATTTTATGATATTATAATAAAAAGTGGTTCTTTGGTTATAAGTATTTTTTCAATAATCAATCTTATTTCATTGCTATCCTCTACTTTTCTGCCCTGAATCATTAACAAATTTTTTTTAAAATATACTTTACATTTTAGTGCTATTTTAGGTTTACAGCAAAAATTGAGCGGAAAATACAAAAAAGTCTTCATATACTCTTTATCCCCTTCTCCCTCACAAAGCCTGTACCACTATGCATAACCCACATCAGCATAGAATATTTGTTATCATTGATAAGCTTAAGTTGACACATCATTATCACTAAAAATTTGTAGTTTACATTATGATTACATGGATAATCCCTGTATTCTTTTAGGCTAAATAACACATGGGTCAAAGAAAAATTCCCAAGAGAAAATTTAAAATATTTTGAAATAAGTGAAAATGAAAATACAACTTATCAAAACTTGTGGAGGACACAGGGAGAAAAGTGGCAGATAGGAGGCAGGACTCACTTGCAGCTCTCACTTAGAGGGACAGAGTAGCATATGAAGACTCACATCATGAATTTTGCTCCAAGAACCACTGTAGGAACATACCAGGAAAACTTAAAGAATTCACAGACCCTTTGAAAGAAGCAGCTTGCTGCTGCAAACTTTGCGAGACAGCCGTAAAACTGTAAGTGCCCAATGCGTAAGTGGAGGAAAGTCTGGCTCTGGATACACATCCTTTACTGGAGAATCCGAAAATCCGGATACAGAAGAAGAATTTAACCTTACCTAGAGCTGAGATGAATTTAGAGAGCCAAGCAAAACATAAAAGTAGAAGAAGTAGCGGGAACAGCCATGTAGGAACTCCTAGTTCTCTGGGAGGCCCTGGGAAGCCATTTCTGACTTAATCTCAGAGAGGTCCCTGGGGAGGACAGAGGAATTGGGGAAGGGCCACAAGGAGAAGGAGACTTCCAGCTTAACTTTATAAAAATTTTGACAAAATATGAATTTTTCTGGGCAGAATGTGGTGGGCTGAACAAGAAGTGGAAATATGAGCAAAGAAGGCAGGTAGTTTGGAGCAAGGCTTGAAAGCTCTGCTTGCTTTGTCAGTAGGTAGGCTTGTAGCCTAGGGCAAGATCTCAGTCCTGTGTACCAGAGGGCTGGATATAAATTGGGCTCTGTTGGCTACTGGGAGACCATGGTGGGAGTGAGACTGGCCTTACTAGCTGTATAGGAGCTGGGTGAGACCTGTCACTGCTGACTTTCCCCCACTTCCCTGGTGACCCGTATGAAGCAGCAGAGGCAGCCATGATCCCTCTTGGAATGTAACGCCATTGGCCTGAGAACCACCCTTCCCCTATCCACCACAACAGTCATAGCAAGCCCTACTCAAGGATAGTTTGAGCTCAGACATGCCCAACTCAGCTCCCATCTGGTGGTCTTTCAATGCCTGTTCTGGTAGCCGAAGACAAAAATGGCAGTAACTTCATTTTTTTTCTATCCTAAGCCTCCGGACCTGTGATGGGAGGGGCTGCCACCAAGGTCTCTCACATGCCCTGGAGACAATTTCCTCATTGTCTCAGTGATAAACATTTGGGTCCTCATTACTTATGCAAGTTTCTGTAGCTAGCTTGAATTTCTCCTCAGAAAATGGGATTTTCTTTTCTATTTCATTGTCAGGCTGCAATTTTTAAAAACTTTTGTGCTCTGTTTTCCTTTTAAAACTGAATGCTTATAACTGCACCCAAGTCACATCGTGAACTTCCACACCATGGAACACTACTCAGCCTTAAAAAGGAACAAAATAATGACGTTTACAGAAACCTGATGGAGTTCGAGACCATTATTCTAAGTGAAGTAACTCAGGAATGGAAAATCAGATATCATGTGTTCTCACTTGTAAGTGGGAACTGAGCTATGAAGATGCAAAGGCATAATAATACAATAGAATTCGGAGACGGGGGGAAACGTTGGGGGGTAAGGGATGAAAGGGTACATGTTGGGTACAGTGTGCACTGCTAGGATGATGGCTTTACCAAAATCTCAGAAATCATCACTAAAAAACTTGTTTATGTAACCAAACACCACCTGCTCCCCCAAATCTATTGAAATAAAAATTTAAAAAAGAAGTAACTAAGATAAAATAAAACTGTGATCTTATTCCAGTGTGACTTGTGTCCTTATAAAAAATAGATTTAGATACACAAAGAGACACCTCACCTATGTCAGGGCATAGAAAGAAGGCATGTCTAGAAGAGTTCTCCGGAGAAACCAACCCTGAGACACCTTGATCTTGGACTTCCAACCTCTAGAACTGTTAGAAAATCAATCACTGTTGTTAAAGCCACTCAGGCTGTGGTACTTTGTGATGTCATCCTAAGTAGACAACATAATATCCTTATTTGGATGTTTGCTGAAACTCTGTTACTATGAAATCACTGGACTTTTTGTTGTTGTTTTATTCTGCTTTAGAACTACATGAAGAAACAGTTATAATAATATCAACTTAAAATGCAAAGAAATCACAAATATCTTTTCTTGCAAAAAAAACAAAAAACAAAACAAACAAACAAAACTCAACACCCTGTGGAATGCAGTGAAAGCAGCACCTAAAGGAAAATTTGTATCATTGAATGGCTATGATTTTATATCATATAATTACTTATTTGTAATGTTAGGATGACTGTACCCCTCTGACATGGAAACTCTTTTGTATGCGTTTTTCTTTAGGTCTGTATAAATCGTGAATGTGTAGAATCAAGGATAATTAAGGCTTCAGCACACGCTTGTTCACAACAGTGTTCTGGACATGGAGTAAGTAAGCGCATGTTTCCCTGAAGCACATTTCTTGGACACTTTTTTGCATCACTCATTAATTTATCAACTTTTTTTGGGTCACTACCATGTGCCAAACTCCATTGCATCTAGCTTCAGTTGGGAGCTGAATTAAGTCATTAAATTCAGTAGCCATAATTAGTTACAGAGGATCTTTTGAGTAGAATTAAATTGCTAATGACCTAAATATATATTGTTTTAATTGGGTACTTTTTAGAGGGTGTTAAATTTCCTGATAAACACATTAATCTGGTTCTCAATGGAAAGATAATTATGCTGTAATTCCTGTGTCTGTGAATACACATGGATCATAAAAAACTTTTATTTCTCTTCTTTTAAAAATAGACTTTATTTTTTTAGAGAAGTTTTAGGTTCACAGAGATTTGAAAAATAGAAAGTACAGAGATTTTCCATATATTCACTCATCCTACATAGACACGATCTTTCCCAATTTTAACATCACACATCAGAGTGGTCTATTTGTTGTAATTGAGGACCTACAAGGACATATCATTATTACCCAAAGTCCAGTTTACATTAGGATTTATTGTTAGTGTCACACATTCTGTAAGTTTTGACAAATGTGTAATGATACAGATCCACCATTATGATATATAGAGAGTATTTTCATTACTCTAAAAATTCTCTGTGCTCCATCAGTTTATCCTTCTCTTTTCCCTAACCCTTGGCAACCACTGATCTTACTACTATTTTCCTAGGTTTTCCTTTTCCAGAATATTATTTTATTGGAATTATATAGTATGCAGCCTTTTCAGATTTGTTTCTTTCACTTAGTAATATGCATTTAAGGCTTCTCCATGTGTTTTTATGGCTTGATAGCTCATTTCTTTTAAGGGCTAAATAATATTCCATAGTCTGAATGTACCATGGTTATTTATCCATTCACCTAACATCGTGGTTGCTTCCAAGTTTGGTAATTACAAATAAAGCTACTATAAACATCCTTCTTCAGGTTTTTGTGTGGACATAAATTTTCAACTATTTTGAGTAAATACCAAGGATTGTGGCTGATGTATCATATCATAAGAGTATGGTTAGTTTTGTTAGAAACTGACAAAACATCTTTCAAAGTGGCTGTACCAGTTTGCATTCCCACCAGCAGCAAATGAAAGTCCCTGTTGCTCCACATCCAAGCCAACATTTTTTGTTGTCCATGTTTTGGATTTTGGCCATTCTAATAGGGGTGTAGAGGTATTTCACTGTTGTTTTAATTCACATTTTATTGATGACATATGTGAGGCATCTTTTCCTATACTTATTTTCCTTCTATCTACCCTTTTTGGTGAGAGGCCTGTTAAAGTCTTCTGCCCATTTTTAAATCAGGTGGTTTGTTTTCTTGCTGAGTTTTACGTTTTCTTGTCATATCTTGAATAACGGTCACATATCCAATATGTCTTTTGTTCTGTGGCTTATCTTTTATTCTCTTGATAGTGCTTTTCACAGAGAAGGTTTGAATTTTATAAAGTCCAGTTTCTAATTTCTTTCATAGATTGTGCCTTTGGTATTGCATCTTAAAAGTCTGTGCAATACCCAAGGTCATTCAGGTTTTTTCTGAGTTATCTTCTAGGAGTTTTTTAGCTTTGCATTTTACATTTAGGCCTATCATCCATTATGGATTAATATTTTGAAAGGTGGTAGGTTTGTGTCTAGATTTTTTTCTCCCTGCGTTTTGATGTCCAGCTACCACTAATGTTAAAGTCTTTCTTTTCTCTACTGTATTGCTTTTGCTCTTTTGGCAGAGATCGGTTGACTAGATTTATGGTTGTTGATTTCTGGGCTCCTTATTCTATTGCACTGATTCATTTGACTATTCTTTCTGCTATATTATATTGTCTTGATGACTATAGACTTACAGTATGTTGAAGTTGGGTAGTCTTCTGACTTTGTTCTTCTTGTTTCAATGGTAACTTGACTATTCTTGATTTTTTTGTGTTTCCATATAAACTTTAGAATCAGTTTGTTGATTTTCACAAAATAGCTTGCTGGAATTTTGACAGGGATTGTGTTGCATCTATAAATCCAGTTAGTAAGAACTGATTTCTTGACAATATTGAGTCTTTCTATCTATGAACATGTAATGTGTTTTCATTTATTTAGTTCTTTTTTCTTTCATCAGTGTTTTATAGTTTTTCTCATATTGATCTTACATATATTTTGTTAGAGTTATACTAAGTACATCATTTTTTGGGGGTGCTAATGTAAATAGTATTTTATCTTTAATTTCAAGTTTCATTTGTTCATTGCTGGTGAATAGAAAAATTATTGGCTTTTGTGCATTAACCTTGTGTCTTGCAACCATACTATCATCACTTGTTAGTTCCAAGAGATCTTCAACTCTTTTTAGATTTTCTAAATTGATGTCTATGTTACACGTGAACAAAGACAGTTTTATTTCTTCCTTCCTAATCAGTATTTATTTTTTTCTTATTTTATTGTATTAGATAGAACTTCCTGTATAATATTGAAATAAGAGTGGTGAGAGGAGACATCCTTGCATTTCTCCTTCTTAGTGGAAAAGTGTTTAATTTCTCACTATTAAGTATGATGTCAGCTGTAGGTTTTTTTTTTTATATTTTGTTAGATGAAAAAATTTTTCTCTACTCTTAGTTTGCTGATACTTTACTTTTAAATCACAAATAAGTGTTGGCTTTTTTTCCTGTTAGATGCTTTTTCTGTATCTATTGATATGATAATGTGATTTTTCTTCTCTAACTTATTGATGTGAGATGGAGTACATCAACTAATTTTCTAATGTTGAACCAGTTACATGCCTGCAATAAACCTTGGTTGTGGTGCATAATTATTTATATGCATTATAGAATTTGATTTACTAATGTTTAGTGAGAGTTTTTTCATCTTTGCATCTACAGACATTTTTTCTGTAGTTTCCATTTCTTATAATATTTTTCTCTAGTTTTGATATTAGAGTAAGGATGGCCTGATAGAATGAATGAGGAAGCATCTCCTCTGCTTCTGTCTTCTGAAAGAGATTGTAAGATATTATAGAAAAGTGGTATAATATCTCCCTTAAATGTTTGCTAGAATACAATAGTGAACCCATATAAACAATTATCTTAAGATCAATTAAGAATAAGAAACATAATTTTTAGTTTACTTTCACTTAATTCCTTCTCTAATACTATTCTTTTCTTTATATAAATAAGGTTTGCTGATTTTTATTCTCTCTGAAGAATCTCTTTTAACATTTATTTCAAAGGCAGGTCTACTGGTAAGACATACTCTAAATTTTTGCTTGTCTGAAAGTCTTTATTTCATTTCCACTTTTGTAAGATAATTTCAAAGGATTAAATATTTTACTCCACACTCTTTTTGTTTATGTGGTTTCTGAAGAGAAGCCCAGTGTTATTTTTATCTTTGTGCCTCTCTAAATATGGTGTTTTCTCTCTCTGGCCTCTTTCCAAATTTGTTCTTTGATTTCCTGTAGTTTGAAAGTTACTAGGTTTAGATACAAATTTTTGTCCTGATTTTTTTGCATGTGTTTGCGTTGCTTGATCTGTGATTTGTTGTAAGCCATTAATTTTGGAAAATTATCAGCCATTATTGCTTCAGATATTTCTTCTATTCCATTTTTTTTGTCCTCTTGGTATCCTCATTACATGTATGTTATGCATTTTTTAGTTGTCCCACAGTTTTGGATATTCTGTTCTTCCAATCTTTTTTTTGGCTTTTTAGTTTTAGAAGTTTCTATTTAGACATCCTCAAGCTCAGAGATCTTTTCTCATTTCCACTATGATTAAGTCTATTAATGGGCCCACCAAAAGCATTCTTCATTTCTGTTACAGTGTTTTTGATCTCTAGCACTTCTTTTTAATGCTTTCTTAGAATTTTTATCTCTCTGTCTACACTGCGCATCTGTTCTTACACGCAGTCTACTTTATCCATTAGAGCTTTCAGCATATAAAATATAGTTGTTTTATTTATTTATTTTAATTTATTTTTTGTTGACACATAATAGATGTACCTATTGTGGAGGTATAATTGATAATTAACACATTCATATAATTTATAAAAATTAAATCAGTGTAATTAAGATATCCATCACTTCATATATTTGTCTTTATGCTAAAACATTTGAATTTTTCTTCTCTAGGTATTTTGAAATATACAATAGGTTATTTTAAACTCTGGTTATTCTACTGATCTGTCAAAAGAAAATGTAGGAAAATAGTTCTAAGACAATGATTATGTAATTTTTTAAAAATATAACCTCAAAAGCACAGAAAACAAAAGCAAAAATAAACAAATGGGATTACACCAAGATAAAAGGATTCCACAAGGCAAAAAAAAAAAAAAGAAAAGCAATCAACAAAGTGAAGAGACACCCCACAGAATAAGAGAAAGTATTTCCAAACTATCCATCTGACAAAGGACTGATAATCAGAATATATAAGGAGCTCAAATAACTCAATAGCAAAAAAATACTCCACAAATTATGTGATTAAGAAATGGGCAAAATATCTGAATAGACATTTCTTAAAATAAAATATACAAATGGCCAGCAAGTATACAAAAAAACCTTCAACATCACTAATTATCAAAGAGATGCAAATCAAAATTATGAGATATAATCTCAATCCAGTTAAAATGGATTTTATCAAAAAGACAGGGAACAGTCAATGCTGGTCAGCCTGTGGAAAAAAGGAAAGCCTCACACAGTATAGGTGGGAATGTATATTAATACAGCCACTGTGAAAAATTGTATGGCAATTCTTCATAAAAACTAAAAATAGAACTACTATATGACCCAGCAATTCTACTACTGGGTAAATAACCAAAAGAACAGAAATAAATACTTCAAAAAGATATCTGTACTCTCATGTTTATTGTAGCATTATTCACAACAGCCAAAATATAGAATCAACTTGTGTCCATGAATACATGAATAAATAAAGAAAATGTGAGATACATACACAATGTAAAAAAATAATCAAATCCCATTACTTGTAGCAACATGGATGGAACTGAAAGTCATTATGTTAAATGAAATAAGCTAAGCACAGAAAGACAAATATCACGTGTTCTCACTCATATGTGGAAGTTGAAAAAGTGGATTCTTGAAGATACAGAGTAGATAGGTGGTTACCAGAGGCCAGAAAGTGTAATGGGGAGGAGAGGATGAAGAGAGGTTGATTTAATAGGTACATACATCTAGTTTGAAAAAATATATTGTGGTGGTGTACATTTACATACTAACATACTGGATAACCTAGAAGAAATTGATAGATTCCTGGAATGATACAACCAATATGCCAAAACTAAATCAAGAATGAATATCCTGAACAGAACAACAACAAATAAAGAGATTAAATCAGTAATCAAAACTTTCTAGCAAAGAAAATCTCAGGATCAGGGGGATTCACAAATGATTTATGTTAAACATTTACAGAAAAATTGAACAAGAAAATAAAATTGCAGGCTAATATATCTACAAGCATACATGCAAAAATTTACAACAAAACATTAGCAAACTATACTTGTCACACATCAAAAGAATCATACACTATGACCAAATGGGATTTTTCCAGGGATGCAAGGATGGTTTAAAACACACAAGCCAATTAATATGATATGCCACATTAAGAAGATGAAAGATCAATTTACTTTATAATATTAGGATGCAGAAAAATCATTTGGTAAAATCCAACATACTTTCCTTGTAAAAACTCAATCCATTAGGAATAGCAGAAAGCCTGTATGTAAAAAGTCTACAACTAAAATTATACTCAATGATGAAAAAATGAAAGCCTTTACTTTAAGATCTAGAATGATGCAAGGATAGGCACTCTCTCCACTCATATTCAATATAGTACTGGAATGGAATTCCTAGATGAAGCAATGAGACAAGAAAAAGAACTAAAGGGCATCCAACTGGGAAAGAAGAAATAAAGTAGCTTCTGTTTCAAATGGCATGATTGTATACATAGAAAACCGTAAAGGTTCGATAAAACTAGTAGAAGAAATGCTGAATTCAGTAAAGTTGCAGGACACAAAAACAACACTCAAAAATCAGTTATATTTTTATACATCCAAAATAGACTATTAGGAAAGGAGATTAGTTAAACAATCCCATTTACAACAGCATCAAAAAGAATAAAATACTTAGGTTTAAAACAAACCAAGGAGGTGAAAGACTTGTACACTGAAAACTATATAAAACATGAAAAAAGATTAAGGGAGATACAAAAAATTAAAAGATATTCCATGGATTGAAAAAATTAATATTGTTAAACTATCCCTAATACTCAGTTATCTACAGATTCAATGCAATTCTTATGAGAATCTCCATGTTATTTTTCAAAGAAATAGAAAATTAAAATTTATATAAAACTATAACAAAATTTAAATAATTAAAAGCCATCTTTAAAAAGAAGAAAAAAGCTTTTCAAAATATAGTACAAAGGTAAGGTACAAAGGTATGGAACAGTATGCTACTGCCATAAAATACAGGCAAATAGAGCAATGGATAAAAATAGAGAGCTCAGAAATAGACTCATATATGCTGGCTCCCGCATACCACTGGAGGGTCACATTTTCATTAGAATTTAAGTATGCATTTTTGAAATTGCATGGTAAATTTGTGGGTAAGCATTTCAAGGTGTCAGATTTTCTTGATGCAAATATTGAGAGCCTCACTTTATGGCTTTTTTTTTTTTTTCTTTTTGTGTGTGTCTGTGTTTTAGTCCAAGAAAGCAAACATTTGATATGTGAGATTGCCACTCTAGTTAAACAAAATTACACTAGGTTATGGTACAAAAGTAAGCTTGATAATCACTTTCTATGAAAACATATTTTAAAATAATAATTTAATTTTTCAAAATGATCCTAGGTGTGTAATTCCAAAAGCACATGCCATTGTTCACCAGGCTATCAGCCTCCAAACTGCCAAACACGTTCCAAAGGATTTTCCGTATTTCCTGAGGAAGGTATGGGCAAGTATCTGTCTGTTTAAATATCCATTTAATAAAATTCTCAAATTGCTTATCTTCACTAAAACTAAGTTCGATTTTGCCACTTATAAGGCAACTGATATTTGTAATGAAAAGATAATCAGAATTCTTTCAAGGAATGGAAACCAAACATGCCATCTTAATCTTTCTCTCTTTTTGTTAATTAATTAACTAATTAATTAGTTTTATTTCAATAGGTTTTTGGAGAAGAGGTAGATTTTGGTTAGACTGATATGTTCTTTAGTAGTTATTTCTGAGATTTAGGTGCAGCCATCACCCGGGCAGTGTACACTGTATCCAATTTTGTAGTCTTTTATATCTCACCACTCCCATCCTTCCTCTCAATATCCATTGTATCATTCTTATGCCTTTGTGTCCTCATAGCTTAGCTCCCACTATGAGTGAAAGCATATGATGTTTGTTTTTCCATTCCAGAGTTACTTCACAGTATTTTACTGTCTCAATAATGGTCTCAAACTCCATCCAGTTTGCTGCGAATGCTATTATTTTGTTCCTTTCAATGGCTCAGTAGTATTCTACAGTGTATATATATCACACTTTCTTTATCCACTCAATGATTGATGAGCATTTGGGCTGGTTTCATATTTTTCAATTGCAAATTGTTCTGCTATAGACATATGTGCAAGTGTCTTTTATATAGTTACTTTTTTCCCTCTGGGTAGATACCAGTAGTGGTATTGCTGAATCAAATGGTAGATCTACTTTTGGTTCTTCAAGAAATTGCTATACTGTTTTCCACTGTGGTTGTACTAGTTGACATTTCCACCAGCAGTGTAAAAGCACTCCCTTTTAACCACATCCATGCCAACGTCTATTATTTTTTTGAATTTTTTTAAGTTACGGTCATTCTTGTAGGAGTATTACATTGTGGTTTTGATTTGCATTTCCCTGATTATTGATGATACTGAGCATTTTTTCATATGTTTTTTGGCCCTGCATATCTTCTTTTGAGAGTTACTTATTCATGTCCTTAGCCCACTTTTTGATGGAATTGTTTATTTTTCTTGCTGATATGTTTGAGTTCCTTATAGATTCTGGATATTTGTTCTTTGTCAGATACATAGTTTGTGAAGATTTTCTCCAATCTATGGGTTGTCTGTTTATTCTGCTGATTATTTATTTTGCTTTGCAGAAGATTTTTATTTTAATTATATTCCTTCTATTTATCTTTATTTTTGTTGCATTTGCTTTTGGGTTCTTGCTCATGAATTCTTTGCCTAAGGCAATGTCTAGAATAGTATTTTGATGTTATATTCTAGAATTTTTATGTTGTCAGGGCTCAGATTTAAGTATTTGATTCCTCTTTAGTTATTGTTTGTATAAGTTTCATTCTACATGTGTCTTGCCAGTTATCCCAGTACCATTTGTTGAATATGGTATCTTTCCCCCATTTTATGTTTTTGTTTGCTTTGTTGAAGATCAGTTGGCTATTTGTACTTGGCTTTATTTCTGGGTTCCCTATTCGATTCCATTGGTCTATGTGTCTATTTTTATACCAGTAGCATGCTGTTTTGGTTACTATAGCCTTATTATCTATAGCTGTACTATTTTGAATGTGCTCAATCTTGTCTTGCTCTCTTTTCTAACATTAAAATATCATAATTGAAGCTGAATATCTTTTAAAATTTCTCTTTACTGATATTATTGACTTCCTCTTTTAGAATATTTTCTTTTTTAAAAAAATTTATAATGAAAAGAGGTTTAATGAACTCACAGTTCTGCATTGCTGGAGAGGCCTCAGGAAACTTAAAATTATGACAGAAGGTGAGGAGAAGCAAAGACACATCTTACATGGTGGCAAGCAAGAGGGATTGTGCAAGCGCAGGAGAAACTACCAGTTATAAAAACATCAGATCTTGTGAGAATCCACTCACTATCATGAGAACAGAATGAGGAAACTGCCCCCATAATCCAGTCACTTCCCACCAGGTCTCTTCAGCAACACCTGGGGATTATAATTCAAGATGGATTTGAGTTGGGACATAATTTCTCCTTCTCAGCTCTATGACTGATCCTGTGACCTCAGCTCTAAACAAACAACATTTTCTCTGTGTTTAGTACTGTTACTGTGTTTCTGTTATAGAAGAAATGGAATAGAAGACCAGATTTTACTTTGAAGAAGTTTATCATTTAAATCAGAAAAATCTATCAATTTCTGCTTAGGAGATGACAGAAGCGATGCTTGTATATTATTCTTTTTTGTGCACCACAGCTTCCATTTCTGTCATTCATTCATGCATTGAGTTAGCAAATATTTATTGAAGTCTTAATATATTCCAGGTCCAGGTGCTGGTCTAGACACTGGGGATGTACAGTGAGCAAAATGAAGTTCTTCTTCTCATGGAATTCAGAGGATATGTTTAAGTCTATATATCCAGTGATAGCAAGGGACAGAATTAGGATTAGGAATAAATTCTTCTAATTTTTATGTCAGTGCCCTTTTAGCAATGCGCAATGGCCGCATTTATAAACATTTATCCCCAAGGCCAAAAGCCAACAATCTACCAAGGAAAAATTGGATATACAGAAATACATTGAATTCCTTTGATAATGCACCTTGTAATTTTTGGATGACCATGCAATTATGCAATCCCACATTGTATATCATTGAATTTTTTGTCCTTACTTACAGTGTTATAGTGAGATTTTGCTGTAGCTGCTGTGAGACTTGAATACTTTTGAACTTTCCAAAATTTGGTTTCCACATTTTTAGAATGAAAGGTTGTAGAGATAGCCCTAAGGATTATGGTTACAATTCTAGAATGATTTTTCCATGTTCCTTGAATAACAATACAAATTAAGAACATTTAATGAATTTGTTACAACTTGAAAGTAAAAGTACATAGTTTAGTTTTTTTATGTTGATTTTTTTTGTATTTTTATTTTTAGATTCAGTCATGGAAAGGGCATCTGAGAAGACTGAAAACACCTGGCTTCTAGGTTTTTCCATTGCTCTTCCTATTCTCATTGTGGCAACCATAGTAGTTTTGGCAAGGAAACAGCTGAAAAAGTGGTTCACCAATTCCAAGGAAGAGGAATTCTCAAGTAGCGAGTAAGTTGCATTTGTGTTCTGAAGTTAAACATTAGCACTATTTGAATCTAGTTATACATAAGACAATATCATGAGCAGCAACAATACTTTACATATCCTTGGGATTTTGAGTATTACATCAACATGTCATTTAATTTTATGAGGTAGTTGTGAATAACCCTCTTTTTAAGACACAAAGATTTGGAAGTGTAGTTTACATGGTGTGCCAAAGTCATTGGACTGTTAGTTGAGAGAGAGGAAGAACTCACATATATCTGTTATTTTCTTTTCAAAGGGAGATGATCTACGTTATCTACAAAAGAAACACCAGAAATATTTATTAAAAATGCATATTTCTGGTTTACCACAGACTATTTTAATTCACATTGCTGACTCATATAAGAAATAATTTAAAAAATATTATTTGCGTTAAATTTTCAGAAGGGAAATTTATAATTTAGATTATTACGTTTTTATTTTCAAGAAATAATTCAAACACTAAGAGAACGAGATGACAAGCATTCACTTATTCATCATGGGAAATAAACAGATATTAATATTTTTCTTGTTTCTCTTATAAAATAAAGCATTGTGTTTGCAGCTGCAGTTCCTTCTGGTATGATCCCCTTCCCTCCCTGTAGAGAAACTGAATGTTTGTGTATCTTACATGTTTTTAATACATGTGGCATTATCCATGTGCAATAACCTAGTATTGTTTTATATATAATTTTAAATAGCTATTCTGTCTTTGTAGATGCATTTCCTTTTCTAATTTTGAAATATACATATAACTTTCAGTTTTATTGAATTCTCTATATTTCTATTGTTTTTTATACCAAGTTTTGCTCTTTTTCCTCAATTCCATTCTTTTTACTTTTGCTCTGTTGTAACTCTAGATTTCTTGATTTTAATGCTTTATTAATTTTCAACCTTTCTTATTTTCTAAAAATAAGAAATACTTTAATAGCAAAAACCTTCTTCTTATATGTCATTTTCTTTACACTTTCCAGGTTTTAAACTATAGTCGACATTCAGTTAAAAATTTTTTTTAAGAAATCTAGTGTGGTTTCTTGTTTAAATAATAAATCAACTGTAGTCTTTAGTTGTGAATTATATAATTTATTTTCATCGTTTTAAAAATAATTTTATTAGCTTATTTTGAGAAACTTGTCTGTGTGATTTAGACTCTTAAATGTTGGAATGAAAAATGAAGTAAATTTTTATAAATGTGTAAGCTTGATATATCTGCTCTAACGATTTTAGGACAAACTTTTAAATTGTGTTGTTTCAAATCATTTTTATACATACCATTATTTCCCCCTGTTTGTTTGATACTTTATTTTCTGTGAGAGGCAAAGTAAAATTTTCAGTGTGTTGGAGCTTTCCCTCTGATTGTTGAAATTTCCACTTTATGTGTTTTGATGCTTTATATGTTTTAGTTATATTTTCTTGGTGTATTTTCTTTTAATCATTACGAATTGTATCTTTTTTTTGGGAGGAAGGCAGGAAGGGAGGGAAGGAGGAAGGGAGGGAAGAAGGAAGGGATGAAGGAAGGAAGGAAGGGAGGAAGGGGGAGGGAGGGAGGGAGGGAGGGAAGGGAAGGAAGGAAATCAAGCAAAGAGAGAGACATTGCTGATCTGGATCTAGAGGTTTACAAGTTGATTTCTTTTTTTTTTTTCTTTTTCTTTTGAGAGAAGGAAAGAAAAAAAATGAGTAAAGGAGAGGAAGAAAGAGGAAGAGAAAGAGGGAGGGTGAACAGAAATATTGCTTTATTCTGAAAAAAATGGGTATTAATAATGGCCAATAAATGTTTCATTTAAACCTATGAGTAGGTGTGATGTGGTATTGTATCTTAAATACAATTTTCACTGTTTTAGATTGCTATATCAACTTTCTCTTTAAAAATGACATTTGCCTGGTACATCTTTTTGCAATCTTTTCTCAATCTGTCTTTGCATTTAGCTGGTGTTTTATACATAACCTTTATATGAAATGCACTAGTGGAGTTTGTTATGCTCATATGCTTAACCCATGATGACATATCTTAGGCTGAAATTTGCCATTATACTTTTTTCCTATTTACCATGCTTTTTTCTTTTTCTTTTTCTATAATCTATTTTCTTGGTTCCATTTTTCTTTCTTTTTTTTTTTTTTTTTTGAGATGTTGTTTCCCTCTTGTAGCCCAGCCTGGAGTGCAGAGGTGCAATCTGGCTCACTGCAACCTCAGCTCCCTGGGTTAAAGCAATTCTGCTGCCTCAGCCTCCTGAGTAGCTGGTACTACAGGTGTGTGCATCACCATGCCTGGCTAATTTTTTGTATTTTCAGTAGAGATGGGCATTCACCTTATTGGCCAGGCTGGTCTTGAATGGTTTCATTTCTCTGTTGTCTTTCTTTCTTTAACTATTTGGACATTTTTATATTCTGTTTTTGTTTTAGTCATTTTCTTTAAATTTTAGATTTTGTAGTTAATGTTATATAATGTCTAAATTTAATCATTACATATAGTCTTCTTTGAAATAACCCAAGGATCTTAGCCATTTAACTACTTCCATTTTCAGTCTGTCATTTGACTTTCTAATTTCTCCCAAATTTGCCAGTGTTATTTTTGTTATTATCATCTTTATATTTAGTCAGTGAATACTTGGATTTTCCAGTGTATTTCCCAATCTTACTTATCATTCCTTTTCTAAAAATCCTTATTTTTTTTTGGAAATAATTTAAGGACAAAAATTCTCAAAAATTGCACGGGATTCTCATGTACCTTTGCCTAACTTTTTCCAAAGATAACATCTTACATGAAAACTGCATTTCCATAGCCAGTATAATGGTATTGGTATAATATTTTTAATACAGCTAAAGACCTTATTCAGATTTGCCAGTGTTTGTATGCATTCATTTATATGTGTGTATAGTATTACCCCATTTTATCATGTGATTTGTTTACCCACACCAAATTATAATTTTTTTTGGAATCCTGCTTTTATATTCTAGGTTCGATTATTTTTTTTTTCTCTGAGATTTATTGTGGTATGATTGACAAACATTGATGATTTGCCTGATATATGTATATACTGTGCAGTGAATATCACAATTACTATAATTAACACATTCATCACCTTATTTATTAACCTCTTTTTTATGTGTATAGTGAGAACACATAAGATCTACTCTCTTAGCAAAATGACAAGTTTTTTACATATAAGGACATGTCATCTGAAAACAGACAACTTCTTTCTTTGCAATTTGGCTGTCCTTTATTTCATATTTCTTGCCTAATTCCTGTGGCTAGGCCTTCTAGTACTATATTGAATAGAAGTGGTGAAAGGGGCTTCTTGTTTTATTCTTGATCTTAGACCAAAACTTTTAATGATAGCTTTTCACTGTTAAGTTTAATGTAGCTGTGTGCTTGTAATATATGGCCTCTTATTATGTTGAGGTATATTTCTTCTAAAATGAGATGGTAAGAGTTTTAATTAAATAAGTTGAATTTTGTTTCCTGTGTCTCTTGAGTGTATTTTCAGCTGTCCTTGCATCACAAATATAAATCTCACTTGATCATGGTATGTGATCCTTATAATGTTCTGTTAAATTCAGTTCACTAGTATTTTATTGAGGATTTTTATGTCTATGTTAATCAAGGATGTGGCCTATTATTTTCTTTTTTTGTAATGTCTTTGTCTAACTTTTGTATTAGAGTAATTCTGGCCTTATAACATGTGTTTGAAAGTGTTCCCTACTCTTCAATTTTTTGGAGGAATCTAAGAAGGATTAGTATTAATTATATTATAAAAGTTTGGTAGAATTAGCCAGTGAAACCATCTATTTCTGTTTTTTTTTTCTTTGTTGGGAAACTTTTTTTGAATTGCAAGTTTTATTTATTCATATAGTTTTAAATTTGCCAAATAATAATTATACATATCCATGGGGCACATAGTGATGTTTCAGTACATGTAATGTATAATGATCAGATCAGGGTAATTAGCATATACATCACCTCAAATATTTATTATTTCTTTGTTTTTGGTGGAGTCAATATCCTCCTTCTAGCTACTTGAAACTATATATTATTGTTAACTATAGTCATCCTACAGTGCTATAGAAAATTAGAACTTTTTTCTCATAACTCACTGTAATTTTGTAGATTTTAACAAATCTCTCCTTATTCCTCCCTTCCCCCAAACTTTTCCAGCCTCTAGTATCTTCTGTTCTACATTTTCCTTCTGAGGTGAACTTTTATTAGCTTCCGCATATGAGTGAGAACATGCAGTCTTTAACTGTTTGTTCCTGATTTATTTCACTTAACCATGTCCTTCAATTCCATCTGCGTTGTGGTGAATGACAGAATTTTATTCTTTTTATGGCTAAATGATATTCCATTGTATATCTATACCACATTTTCTTTATCTATTTGTTGTTGCAAACTTAGGTTGATTCTGTATCTTAACCATTTTAAATAGTGCTTGCAGTCGATGTGGCAGTGAAGATGTCTCTAAAATACAATGATTCTCTTTCCTTTGGATAAATAACCAGTGGTGGAATTCCTGGATCGTATGGTAGTTCTATTTGTTGTTTTTTTGAGGAACTGCCCTGCTGTTCTCCATAGTGGCTAGACAAGTTTATATTCCCATCAACAGCATCCTTTTCTCTGCATTCCTGCCAGTATTTGTCTTTTTGATAAAAGCCATACTAACTGGGGTAAGATAATACCCCATTGTGATTTTGATTTGCATTTCTATGATTATTAGTGATGTTGAACATTTTTTCTCATATTTTTTGGTCATTTATATGTCTTCTTTTGAGAAATGTCTGTTCAGATTACCTGCCCATTTTTAAATCTGATTGTTTGCTCTTCAAGGAAAATTACAAACCACTGCTCGACGAAATAAGAGAGGACACAAACAGATGGAGAAACATTCCATGTTCATGGTTAGGAAGAATCAATATCATGAAAATGGCCATACTGCCCAAAGTAATTTACAGAATAAATGCTATCCCCATCAAGCTACCATTGAATTTCTTCA